AATACTGACCATTTTAACTTCCAGTACTCCTCAGTAATTGGTAGAACCTTTCAGTCTTTGGCTGTGACTTCTTAGCAGAGCATAGTTGATAGAGAAGTTTTCTATCACAGATTGGCCAACTGTCAGAACGTTGCACAGTGATGCAGTTTCTACTCCTGGTGGAAATATCTTGCATTTGGGGATTTCTCTGATAGGCAGTATTGCTTCTTAGACAGACTGGCTTTTCCAATGATGAAAGGCAAAAGAAAGCTATAGTTTACTTACCACGAAGTTATGCAGAAGTAGGAATTAGGATTTGGGTCTCTTTTGCTTAGTACCTGCTTTGTCTCACTAATGCAGTCAACATGGGGAATAGATATCAAGCATTTGTGGGAAGTGGTCTGAAAAGTGCCTTGGATTTGGGTGTTTCTGTGACTTCTTGGGAAAATTCATGTCTGTCATTTCCTGTAAATACAGTTGGTTCTGCCCACACTTTCCATCCAAGGAACTGCAATGTGTTTGGTTAACCTGAGTGGATCCCAGTCTGGCACCTGAATTGCTCAGAGCTCTTCTGGAGCCATCTGGACCGTGGGACAAGGGCAGCTCTGGCAGCTCTGAGATTTGCCTTCTCTGAACTGTCCTAAAGAGTAAATGGAGGTTTTTCAATAAAACGAAGTCTAGGTGTTAGTGTGTCCTATTGCACAATCAGTTATGAGAAAAACAAATGCTTTTGTGAGTATTTTTATAGCTGTTTGAAAAGCTCAAAACAAGAACAGAATGACAAGTACATGCCAGAGGGGATAATGCTTCATTTTTCCTGTGTGCCAAAAAGAATTGTCCAAAGTTTTTAATTGGTGACTAAAATGTTTATCACAAATTCACTGATAATTAATATCTAAGTGTGTCAGTGCACACTGCAGAGCTGCTGCTTCTTAGATCTGAAGCGCATTCTGTTTTCTGTCCAGTTGGTTTCCTGCAAAGTGCTAAATTATTCTAGCTTTTGTGGGTCATTGTTAACCGTGGCAGGAAGGGTCATTGTTAAAAATGTTTTCAGAACTTTGATAACCAGTTTATCAACTGATTCACATGTTTAATCAGTTAATAGGTTTTCCTTTTCAGTTCATGGGAATTTCTTTGTTTATCTTAGCTGAGTAACTGTTTCTACAGTGGAAAGAACTGTAGTTGACTGATAATCTTTTCAAATATGTGGAGTTTGCTCTTGTGATGCAAATTGTGTGGCCAGACCCTGCACTCTGGAACCATCCACCAGAATACAGGGCAAGTTTTGCATGTGAGTGAAACCTCAAAACATCTTGGGAATACTGAGCCTGGAGCTGCAGGGTTTGGTAGCTTATAATAAGGCTCTTAAGGGCACTTTGGTATTTAATAAAAGGCAGAGAGCAGCTTTGAGAACTTTGCTGGATTGTTATGTGCCAAATGTCTGTGGTTCCTTCAATACCTGGTCAAAAATTGCTCAGCAGGATAATTTCTCACCAAAAATGCTGCTCTGTCTCAAGATGCATGTGTAGCATGAAACATCCCCGAGATCGGAGATCCGCTGCTCTGTGACCTATCCTGGGACTGCACCACCCTTCTGAAAAGGACTTCCCTAATACCTGATCTGAACTTGCTGAGATGCGTTTTGTGATATTGCCGTCGTTCTGGCAGCCATCTCAAACAAGCAGTCGGGCAGTGTGGTCACTAAACTTCCCATTCAAGCTGGGGGATTTGCTGTAGGCTTTTGACAGCCTATTGCTAGATCCCCATCTCTTCCTCAGGGCCCCGCTCCTCCCAATGAAGGCCATTGTGCCCCTTGCCTTATTTGCTGAGAGTGCACTGTTGGCTCCTATTCAGCTTGCAGACAGTTTTGTGGGTTTTTTTTTGCTCTTCCCATTGTATTAAGGCCCGTCAGCTCCTGTGTTTATAAACAAACTATAGGCCAAGTAGAGCTATAAACGTTATTTTGCTTTTTGGAAATAAATTTGGTGATGGTATTTGCTTTCTATGTAAAGAGCAACTTGGCATGAAATAACATACAATAATAAAGTTGCAAAATTTATGTTTACATAACATTTATCTCTCTTGAAATTGCAGATACTTAGAGAGCCCCGCTAGTCTCACTTGGGCTCATAACAGAACTGTGCTCACTCAATCACAGCAGCTTCTGGGAATTGGCATCGTATTTGAACATGTGAGAAAGAGTTAGCAGCTAGTTTTATGTGATCTGGTTTCTTTCTAGATACGTTCATTCCAGTTGCTATATAAAGGAAATGTGTTTAGATGAATACAAGTCCAAAGCACAAACCCCTGCAAAGCTGGACGCATTGGATTGAGGAAGACAGAAACGGACCAGCAGAAACTCAGTGCTCTTTGACAGGTTCTGGCTTCACATACTGTGGCTCAGATCTAAACCATAAAGATGTTTCTCAGTTCCTTTTCTGAGTGGCATGAGGATTGAAGGATGTGTTCTGTTCTGTTGAGAGACCACTGGGTACTGCTGATGGAGAGGGTTGGCTGGAAAGTACAGCTGAGTGTGGTTTTGTACCATGAAAATGTGTGTCTGGAGCCAGGAGTTTGGGGATTGTGTTGAAGCAGTGCAGCACTGCGGTACCATCAGAAAAGATCCAGTGTTTTTTTCAGATGATGTGATGGAGAATGGATGGGGAGGAGGCGAGGATTTATTCTTTCTTGTGGCCAGCAAAAAGCAGGAGGTGATAGGAGGGAAGCAATGGGGTCTCGTGGGTGTGGGGGAGAAGAAAGCAGAAGATTGGGCTAAGCCAGTAAAACTGCATTGAGCCAGCCTCTGATTAACGTCGCGTTGATTCAGGTTTTGTTTGATAAAGCAAAACTTCCCGAGAGTAGAGCAGTTACAAGCCTTTAAGCACTGCTCCGTATCTGCTCCTGAAACCTGGACTGAGCGTGTTCCTTCATTTCTCCCTCCTGAGATAACATACAGCCATAAAACCTGCAAAGTGTTTCCTTCACCTCCAGAAGATGCCCCTGTCCCCTTGTAGCTGGGTGCCCTGCGATACCAGAGGTGGAAAACAACTTTCGTAGCTGTCTGTGATGAAAAGCAATGGCTATTGGAGTATTCTACTGTTCAACAAATTATTCATTAAAACCCAAAGATCCTCAATTTAGAAATCCTGTTGTGCAATGCAGTGAGGATAAATATAGTGTGGTGTCTGAAGGCTTTTTGTTGTCGCTGTTGTCAGCTTTCTGTTCCATCTTACTAAAACATTCCTCTTTGTTGGGAGTCAGAAGCAAATAAGATCTTGCTGAAGCTTTTTGAAATCTAAAACCAATTCATTAGGTACAATGCAAGTGTGGAGCACAGGCAATTATGAGGATTTCAACAGCAAATATTGCAGCCCATGAAACATTAGAATGATTTCCTTCTTGTTTAAAACGCTGCAACGCGTTTCTCCCCGGCTGAATGTGCTCTTGAGCTTTTGTGTCAAAGTGAATCATGATCTAATGCTCACCAGATTACATCTAAATGCTGCAGTATTTCCCTTCTAATTCTGGCTCTTCCTCCTATGATAATATTATTTGTCTAGTCAGTTATGTGCAAGTGTGAAGGAGGAGATGTGATTTCTCCATGTATGCAGATGCATGTGGGAGCATTGCCTGAGGCCATTGCGCTGGGGTTGTGCGCAGCAGTGCTCGTGTTTTAAAAAAAAACTGAGTTGGTAATTAGGCAAAGAGCATAATAAGATCCATGTCTAGAAGGCCAGCGTGGCTCAGAAGGCTTTTATTTGTGTGAATTTCTGTACAAACGTGAAATACCCTGGTACTTAATTGGTCACTGCCCGCACGCTGTGTATGTTGGGGTGAATGGCCGCGGGTCTGAGCCGTTCCCCCGGGGAGGCACGGAGCCACGGGGCAGTGAGAGCACTCTGTGTTGGAGCACACAGGCCCAACGAGCAGCACGGGAGCCTCTCTGCAGCCAGCCATCACTAACACTCCCGATAAAACCTGACATCTTTTCCATCCCCTCGTCTCCTCCGTGGAACTCTAATTAATTTAAATGGTTTTACCGAGGGACCGTGGCACTGCTGAAAAGGCAGAGGGCTTTGCTTGGGTAATCAGCTTAAATACCCGTCCGCTTCCTGCCCTCGCTGCTCCGAACTTCCCATTTGGGAGACATAAATACTGCTTTTATTTTTAAATCTCTTTTTCTTTCTCTCCAATTTCCTTCAGTTTTCCTAACGCGCCTCATACAAGATTCCATTTCAAAGGGCAGGATGGTGGAGCCTGTAAACTGGGTGCAGACGGGAACTTTTTGGTTCAGTGTTGATTGCATTTATTGGAGGAAGGGATAATGAGGGGTTTGGTGTGGAAAAGGTACATCTCTGGCAGGCAGGAGCTGGTGATAATTAGGAAGAAATCCACAGTTTCATTCATTTTTATGCTTCTTAAACGCTACTGCTCAAATGAGCATTTTGCAACTCCTGCTGTACCAGCATGGCAGTTATTTCTGAGGTTAAAAAAAGAACAGTTTGCTGAATACATTTCTATAAGTATGTTCATCTGAAGGCACGCCAGGGTCTCTGTCAGCTGTAAGATAAGCTTTGAAATGCCGCTACTAGAAGGCCATGTATGGACAGACACTATTACAGAAGCCTCTGTGAATGAAACAGGAATACATAGCACAGCTTCTGCCACAATTGAATTCTTTTCTGTCATTACTCAAGAGAATTGCCATCAAGTGGAAGAGCGCTTCACAAGGTCAGGGCTTTAGGAGGTGAAAAGCTTGAGTGTGTTTAATTTGAGGAGTGAGAATAATCTGTGGAAACATTCCTCCCCTTCAAATTATGCACCCACATATTTTTTTTCGTATATTCATGGACAATTTCTTGTCTATCATATCCCCTTCTCTATATTCTGACAAAATTCTGTTTTCTAGAAAGAGAGCTTCGTATCGAAGAGGTGTCTTGCTTTTACCAGCAGGTTTTTGTTTTATTTATTTATTTCATGGCCAGTATTTGTCTGACTTAACCTTCTCACTTTTTCTTAAGGAGTGGCAGTTGGCCAAGAAGACAAATTGCCTTCCGGCTGCAGGCACTTGCCATAGCTGTTGTGGTGTGCCTTGGAACGTGATGCCCTCCACAGGTGGCAGCCTGCAGCAAAAAATTGGTTGGACCTGCAGAGATAGAGCCCAGTGACAGTGAGTTTATCACCCTCTTTCCAGCTGACAATTTCTCAGAATTTCCCTCCCAGCCATTTTAGGAATCTGTCTGAAACTGTTGTGTGTTCTTATATACCAGGGCTGTAAGTGACACCATGCAGGATACAGAAAATTGTTCTTGGACACTGTGCAGGTCTCTATAGGCAGGTATCTCTCACGTGCTAGGAGAAGTTCAGCCTCACTTTAGAGCCAAAGTCAGGAACTATATGGGATTTGCATGCCTACATGTGGAGTTTGTGTGTGTTTGGCAATCTGTGCTCAGCATGCAACAGAATCTCCTAACCAGTGTTCAGAAGCTACGCAGATGGTAAGGACAAGTTGCTCTGTAGGAGGACCAAACTTTTTAGCTCACCATTATAAAAGGCCAATCTTCGTTTCAAAAAGAAGGGGCTATTAATCATGTTAGTCGATTGGGAACAGGATTGAGATCCAAATGCAAGGTTTTTTGAGGTGTTTTGAAATGACAGAGTCGGGACTCAGCTCAGCTCCTACGAAGGCATCAAAATAAGCTGGCAGACACCTGCAAGAATATTCCAAAACTAAGCTCAGATCGTTAAATGGCAATCAAATGCTCTTAAACATCAATTGGTGATGGTAATTGTTAAAACGTCATTTTCTCTGAGGAAAAGATATTATGTTCTTTACCTCATGGCAGCAGTAAAAACCAGTACTCCTTTCCATCCATCCCACCTGGGAATGGATAATACCTTTCCCTAACTGGGTGTAGCAGGAAAGACATGCTCTGTTGGTGGGTGTTTGGTAGTTTACAATTACTTCTTCATTCTATATTCATGCCAGTTTGCAAATTTGAAAAAAAAAAAGCTAGCAAATGTCATCCTACTGTGCTGCTGTTTCTCCAGTGCTGTTTTTCTAGTGCTGTTTAATGATGAATCATGAATGTTAACTTCATATATATGTAATGCTTTCTATATATACACACATATTTATATAAAATTCTGGGTGGTGGCAGGGGGAGAGTTATTCTGTCTGCCTCATCTTTTGTTTTGATCTAGTTGCTATAGAAATACTAAGATCAATTTTGACAGGATAAAATACTACAAATTACATTGTTGGATTACCTCATTACAGAGGGCTGGCACTTTGGATTGCAACATGACCGAAACGAAAAGCGTGAACACTACAAGAATTTCTGCTCTATGGAAAAATGTTATTTTTGGATTCTTCAGGAAGGCGTGCATATAAAACCACCGGCTCCCTGGTGAGTGAGTCCTTGAGACCAGCAGAACTTTCGTCTTAATTTTTGGTTGTGGTAGGTGATGTCATAGTTGGACGTGCATTGACATTAAGCTGCAACTGGCATCTTTGTGGCATGTTTTTCTGTTAAACACTTACGGTAACTGATTTCTTACAGCAGGACTGGTGGAATTAGTCTTTTTGCCCCTTTTTCATGCGTCATCTGCTACCCGTGTGTCCTTGCATCAGTATTACAGTGTTTCAGTAATTTGCCCTGCCTGATTGACCATGCCTTACAGTCTCAAAAGTGGCAAATGTTAGAAAGGACTTTCGTTCGTTAGCATTGAAGGGGATACCTTTAGAGCAAGCAGATTTGGGATGTAATCTTGCTTCCAGTGGGAGGTGTCAGTATCTTGTCTGTGCTGTGTGGAGATTCCCGCGAAATCTCAAGTTTCTGTGGTTTTCCTTTTCATGCTGATGGAACTTGCACACGTTTGTGAGCGATAAGGGACTTGTTTGAAGATGTCTTTCAGTTTGAATCAGGAAAATGTCTTGTCCTCCAACTGCTGGTAGACTGTATTGCTGTGTTAGTAAAAACACTTGGTTCATCGCTTGGTTTTATTTAGGAAAACATTTATCCATCAATGTTACTTGTATACAGGGAGGCGATCTGTGTGATTTGGCAAATGGCTTAACACTCTGTTTTTCTTCTAGTCAAGAATATTACTCTTGCTATATCTAATCTAGAGTTGTAAATTGCAGTAGAGGTACAAATCCAAAACAAACATTTTGAAGAATTTGAATGGAGTAGAGCCCCAATTTCCATTTCAGCACTCTCTCTGTTGTCCGATTTGTTAAACTCAAGTGGTCCCATGTGCGAGTAGCATGACTGCCAGAAGTGCTCTGCAGCCATCTGCTTTTTTGGTAAGTCTTTGATTATTTCTTTGTCTATATTTCTGTCCGAAATTAGAACTGGCAATTCAATTGGTTGGTTAATATTGGGTTTTTTATAATTTAACATTTCCAACTTATGGCTAGGAAATAGCAGCAAGGTAATAAAAAGCACAAGAAATAAACTTTCCTACTGAAGTCCTGGTGGAGCTTTTGTACTATATTGTTTCAGCAACTGAACAGAGAAAGTTTTACTCTTTGTGGGTAATATGTGCAGATGTAGCTGGCTGCGCTGCTTTGATGAACTGTCCAAAAACGTGGAGAAGAACTCCCAGGCTCTGATAGAGGCACTTGCAATAGAGGTGAAGTTGGAAGTCAACACTGCATTTAGATCAGAACCAAAGCACACCGTGGAGGAGGAAGGTTAAAAGCAGGGGGACCTCTTCTGAAGCTAGAGGTCTCATATGATAGCTAGAAACTTGTTGCCCATGTAGGTCTGCTATGGAGGCTGCATGCTTGCTGGCCATATAGTTTCAAAGCCTGGGAGATGCTCTGACTGATATTCTTCAGCTGGGTGGTGTGTACTGCTTGGTTGTCTCAATGGAAGCTTCACAAGAGGTCCTGGTTTTCTTCACTGAGGACTTCAGGTCGTGTATCTCCTGTATCTGGAGAGAGGAATGGAAGTCAGGGCTGGGGCAGACACTGTGATCACTGGCTCTGTCCTTCCACGTAGAATCCAGAGAGGATATCAACAGACATGCCCCATATTGCTGACTTTGTGGGAGAGCACATGATACAGAGTCATTAATGACTGAGTGCTTCATTTGCTTGTTTTTCTTTTTCCTTTCTTTTTAAATGACATGCATTAGAACTTCAGTCCAGTCAGCAGCGTGTTCTGAAAGTGCAACAGCTCTGCAGGGTACTGATGGAAACTTATGTGCCACATGCAGAGACTTGGTGTTTCCAGCAGCCACTCTGGCCCGCACTGCTGGTAGGAATGAGAAGGAAGGTGGCTTTCCTTAGAGCGGGATCACATTGTAAAATGTGCCATGCTCTGAGCATGCTGTTGGTCTCCTACCACAGCCTCTCCATCCACGGCCCATATTCATCATTTCTCTTACTGTGGCAAGGGGAAAATATTTCTTTCCGATCACAAAGGGCTCTGAAAAATGAATTCCTTTTGCTCTCTGGGAATTCCCCCTGATTCTGTGGGAGATGGGGGATTTCATGGCAGTGTTATACAGAGAAACAGAAGTTCCCAGGGCTGTGGTGGCGTGGGCGATGCCGCCGAGGTGGGCTGCTGTGCCTCTCTTGATTTGCAGGCTGCTAAGGGCCAGCGGTGCTCAGAGCTGTCAGATGGAGAAAAGGCAGGCCCTGTTTCCAAATATACAAATGCTCAGAACATAAAAAATATTTTTGTTTTAAATTTTAATAAAGCAGAGGGAGGGAGAGGAAAGGGAAATAAAATAGCAAGTAGGGATGTGGTGGGAGCCAGCCAGGCTGGGGCTTGCTAATATCTGAACTGGGCTGTTGAAAAATGTTTTAAGTCTGCCGGAAGGTCCCGAAAGCACAGCTCTGCCCAGATTGAGTCGGTGGTGACAGGATTGGGCCCTCTGTTACTTTTTTATTTGGTGTTATAAATTACTTTCCCACATTTCCAAAGACATTAACGAATCTTTTCAAGGCATGCTGTGAAAATCATTGCATGTGTTGCTTAAACTACTTATCCATATGTAGGTTTGTACACTATAGGAGCTTTTCCTTTTTGTTTTGCTCTTCCAGAACACTGGCAAACTACAAATCTTTCCTCCTTTCCCCACTTTGATTTTTTCCAGGTAAAATGATGGCAGATGTACTCAGCTCAGTTTCATATAACATATTGCTTACTGGAAGAACAAATTTAGCTCCCTGCCCTTTTACTGTAAACTTGGTTTTGTTTTTTATGTATTTGTAATTTCCTTCAGACCATTTATAAACAGGTTAGAAATACCATTTTGAGTTGTCTGACTCTATTAATAATCAGAGTTCTTTGTATGGGTTCTTTAGGATCTGTGAAGTAGGAACAAACTGTATGGTAAACAAACATCTCCAAACTCTTCCTGCTGCAAAAATATTCGCTGCATTGTTTTGCTGTTCCTTGGAGTATTCTGCCTTTACTTAGAGGGTTATAGTCAGGGATTTAGCTGCTAATTGTGTTTTCCAGGAAGAGCGTTTCATTTTATTCCTTAAGGGTACAAAAAGGAATAATTTTTGCAACAACATTCGTATTCCATTAAAAAAAATTAAAACTGTCATTGGAAAACTGTGAGAATTGAGTTTCTGATGACAGAGCCAGAAGGCTGCTGGCTGCTTTCCCTGCTTGCCTCAATGCTATGGCTGAGCCAAGGCAGTGATTCACTCTCACTGGACTGGGTGACCTCCAGAGGTCCCTTTACACCTCAGTTATTCTGTGGCACCATGAAACTGGAGGGTTCCCTTTCCTCCCTGTGTCTGGTTGCACAGCCTTCCACTTCCCTTGTGCTGTTCTGGTGAGCAGGTCCAAGGCACTGCACCTGCACAAAGCCAAGGTGGGGGGGGGAAATGGAGAGTGGGTTTTCTTGCAGTGAGGAGCTGGAGTGTGTTGAGCAATGGGCTGGGTGGGTGCTGGCACCAGCAGAACAGAGGGGGCAGGCTGTGCGATGGGGAGTGGGGCTGGAGAGGGCTGTGGGGCAGAGCTTTGGGCTGCTAAGCACCACACCTCCAAATGGGTTATAGCTGGAACAGTTCACATCTCCTGGTGTTCCAGTGCAAGGATATACGTGGACAGTCTTTTTGCAGGTTGTGTTCTCCATCTTGATTTCATTTATGATTTTACCCTGATGTGAATGTACCCATATGTCATCTCGCTATCGTGACAACAGAATGTGTGGCTTCAGCTGGCACAAGGAGGCAGGCAGCTGTGCAGGGTGAGTTCTGCAATCTCAGAGGTGAAGATGGATTAAGAGTTCTGTGACCGTTCATTTCCATCCAGAGGAACGCTGCAATTTGCTGCTCCCTCAGTCTGCAGCTTGTCCCCTCCCTCTCTTCACTGCTGGTGCTCATATTACCCTGGGAGCTGATTAGCTCCTTCTCCCTTGTTAGTGTTCAACCAATTTAGTGAGCTGAATCAGTTCACTGCAGGGTCAGACAAGCACTGGGGCCCTCAGTGCTGGAGTGAAGGATGGGACCAGGGCTAGGGCACACCTGGCTGCAGTTCAGGTGTTCTGCTGCCATCCCTTGTGAGACTGTGGGGTACATCACTGCTATCCCTGCTGAAAGTTACCCCATCTCCTTGGGTTTTAAAGTGGGGTTGTTTCATGGATCTTGTTCTTATGGTATGAATGATAAATCACAGCAGTTCCCAGCAGAGGGCTGGGAAGTTCTGAAAGCAGTGTGGTTTAGGACTGCATGAGCTGTGCTGCCTCTGCATTTGCTGGAGACAGTACTGCTTCTTTTCAGACTTCAAGAGTACAAGATAGGACTTTTCTAAAGGATTGTCTGCCTGCTTGGCCATCCTGCTGAGGGTAAAAATGAAAAATCGCTCGTGGCGTCAGCAAGATGGGAATTTGGTCAGTGTTGGTCATGGCCTTCAGTCTTTCCAGAGATGGTGGGGCATTAACCTGGCGAGATGCATAGGTGATGAGAAAGAGCAAGCAGAGAAATAATGAGAAATGTGGATTTTCTGTGTGCAGTGGCAGACCCTGGGAGGATTTCTGCATACAGGCTATAGACCTTTAGCCCATGTTGTGAATTACTTTTCCTTTTGTAGAGCAGTTGCTCAGGAATGCTATCGGTAATTCCAGCAAGAAATCATTAATAAACTTATTTCTGTGAACTAACAAACTTTGTCATTCAGTTCACAAGATAAATACACTGGGTTAAAGGTTTCAGATGTGCAGTTAATAGCTGACTGAGAGCAGTGGAAGATGGTGGTATTTGAGACCTTAACATTATTATTATCTGTTTGCTGTGTATCCCAAAGCAATGGGTAACTTAAACATTTGACACAGGCTGTAGTGTGGGCTGGTGTCACCAAAGCGCTGAGCTCCTCTGAGTGCAGGGGGCAGAAGCATGGTGATGAACTTGCTTTCAGTGCTCTCTAAACGTAAATTTGGGCACCTACTTTTCTACTCATTGGTGATAACCTTTCCGTGAACTGTCTGGGGCCCTATGCTTTCACCTGTTAAAATAAATGACATTTATTAAAAAAAAAACAAAACAATAATACCAAACCCACATTGTTTTAGGGCATAAATCTACCACTTCAATTGCATGAGCCTGTCAGTGAATTTCTGACACCAAGTTATGTTAATTAATGAGTGCTATTAGGTAGTTCTGTCACTTAATAGGATTGAGGGTTGGAAATGCCATGTAATATCACTTCACTGGAGAAAAAATCAACAAACAGCCCTCACTAAAAACCTCGCGTCGCCTTTGATGTCGGTGGGACCTGCTGTCACTTCAAGGGGAGCCCGCCGTGCTGTTTGCACAGGGCTCCAGCTGCCATTTTTGGAGGAGAGGCCGCCGTTATTCTTGGCAATCTGACATGAGGGGCACCCAACAAAACAATTCTCCCACCATCTGAGCGAGAGTGAAGAAACACTGAATAGCTATGGCAAAAGTTACGTCCATCAAACATCCCCTCGTTCAAGGAAGAACTGTGGGCTGTACATTGCCACATGTTTTCACTTATACTGGGTTAACGCCTGAAATCCCTGCTTAGGTTCAGGGCTGTCCTATGTGGTGAGATTCAGATTCTGTGCTGAAGGGTTTCTGCAGGCTGTGCAATCCTCTGGGTCCCCAGGTGAGCCTCTGCTTGTCCTCTGTGATGAGTGAACTCCCAGATCATTCAGAGTAAGGGCAGTAGTAACACTGTATTCCAACCAGTAGTACTGATTTGATTCTGCTGCATCTACTAGAGTTGAGGGAAAAACATAAAAGCCACTGGGTAAGTGGTGGAAAATGTATAATCAAATCCCTGTTAAAGACAACAAAACCTTTACAAACATTGCTGTTGCCAGCTTGGTTGGTAGTATGTGTGTGAGCATGTTGTAGGTGCTGTGCGTGTCTATTAAAGAAAAGGTAAATTCCAGACATGAAATCCATCTCCCCTGAAGTCCCTGACAGAAGTCTCTCTCATTTCAGAGCAGTCAGGACTTCATTGCAAATCCTGCTGAGCCCAT